AGATTTTATCCGGTGGATGGATTTGCGCTATATACCGACCCCACCGCCTTTATAATTAAGTCTCGAGAAGGAACCTACAAGTTCATACAAGTTCATATTCATATTCATATGTGAACTGCACTAATGCTGTCATCAGAACACCATGTTTCTCTTATACAAATGAAGCTTACTTCACGGTGTACATTTAAATGGTCGGTTACTAGAATATTGCGTTTATCGGATGTTATCGACTGACAGTTTAATAATAAAAAATCAAAATTTTCTGATTTACCTAAACCATTGTCATGTTCTTTAGTACTCTGAGCGGTATTAATGTTGGAAAGATCCCCCTTGTTGTGTCGAAAAAATTTAAACTGCTTGATTACGATTCCCGCCGGCCAGTTCATCGGATCGTATAACGTACGCAGTAAATTTTCATCGTACTTTGTGCATGCCCTGAAAGACGTATTTGTACATTTCGACGGTAGTTTTGTAATTTCGAAGTTGGAGTTAGGCCATTTGCCAGTTACATGCGCTTTGACATGGTCGACTGTGGTTGAAGATCTACATCTGCCGATGTGGAGTCAAATATTTCTTTCTGGGGCCATAAATTCGGATGAGTCGGTGTTGGTAGGTTCTTCAGTGCCCTTGACAAAATTAGGAATCTTTTCTTTAGACTTTTCGTTGAGTTCTTTAGTACGAGGACGTTTTGAATTCTTTTTCTTAAAGTGCCTTTTTTTCTGTTTATTATCAATATTGATAACGGTTTCCCCTGAGGATGACTCAGCTGTTTCATCGGAAATCGATGATACGTTCGCTGAAATTACATGATTTGGGGTATTTTCCCCTAACAAATTTTGGTTTAACTGGTTCAGTATTTGATGGTTTACGTCTTTTAATTGGGCAACTTGTTCTTCAAGTTCCTCAATCCTTCTAAGCACGGTCAAGGTTTCACCTTTAATTATGTCACTGATCACTTTTGTCCCGTTCAATATATATTTAGACCATAATTACTCAATTTCTATTTATTAATATGAATATTAATATCAAATACACATTTTGTACAATTGCTAACATTAAATCCAGGGACGTTAATCTCCGCATCAAGATTATTTAACACTGAAGCACTATGGCTTGTTGGAGGCTGTTGAGAGTCACCTACGAGAACCGTCTTGGCAATTTTAATTTTATTTTGTATGATTCTGCAATAGAAGACGATCTCCATCCTCCATGGAGCTCAATACTAACCAAATCAGCACCAGCGTCGGCTAAAAGAGTAGCTGATGACTAGAGCTGTGCGGTCAAAATTTAAACGCTGCGAATTGACCCCCACTCCGGCAGGCCAGAGGCTTGCAACCGACGTTATGTATCGCGAAGAAAATTACGCGAAAAATAATGTTAACGGCATGTCAGTTAATGATTTTAAAATCCATATTCACGAAATAAGAGTAATAATAATTTTAATAATGTTCAGGTGTCCGTCTCGTTGACAATAAAACTATTTGTGTGAATTATCAAAAATAATCCACAACTGAAAAGCGAGAAGCCAGCAAGGCAAGGCTGTAGCGATCGGCACTGTGGGCCGATAGTGGGGGTAAATAAATTTCGACCGCACAGCTCTACTGATGACCTACGGAAGCAATGGTCGTTGTATCCAGATGGATCGTACAACTTCAAATACTTCGCCACCATTTGTGGAACTTGGCCAAGTGTGTTTTTTCCCACGAGCTTCGAGATGCATCTTCCGTTTTTATAAAACAAGAAAAATCTGCGATGATTCACTTTTGATGGTCGCAAAGACATGTACTTCCTGACAATGTCTATAAAATTTATTTTAAACCCTTCTAGAGACCTTTTTGGTATTTTTCACGTTCACAATTAAAACTGATTTGTCATCTTTATTAATGTTATCTACGGATAACTGAGTCAATTCATCCCTACGTAAGCCTCCATTAATCCCCATTATTACTGCTACCTACAAATTCATGGAATATTAGAGTGGACATTATCTATTAGAAAGAATTAGATTTCTTAACTTGATCATTAAGAAATTGACATCTGGAGCTTCCAACAAAAACTTTATGATCTGCTCTCTGTCTAAAGTCTTAGATTTTTTTGCCTATAACCTTCAGACTGGCACTTTAGAAAACCAAATAATCTTTTGCATGTACTAATGTCATTTTTTTTCTTTGGTCGAAAGATTTGCCTTTATCATGAAGTACCGTGACCAAAATGAAGAAGGCTTGTAAATCGTGCTCAGTTCGTTAAAACATACCAAGAGAACTTCCTCAGTAACACTCACGATTTTTTTACAATTACACCAGCCGAGGAAATCCGTGTACACTTCTTGATAAATCTATCTTGATTTCGACGGCAAAAGATTCGCGACAATATCGTCTGCTGCTTTATTAATGTTGAAAAAATTACTTTCTTAATCCATTTTAAATCAAAATATCTTCGTTCTAACATTTTTTTAGGAAACTTTTTTCTTAAAATATTGTGTTGAATGTCGATCGTACATAAAGTTTTGTATGTACCTCTGGCGTAAGCAGTGTCTTTGGCCCTTGGCATGTTACAGTACTCGGCCCTTCGGCCCTCCTGCTCTAATCTCCACGCCGAGGTCCAAAAACGCCTTACTTACGCCCTTGATACATAAATAACTATTATAGGTTGTATTCGGATAATTTTTAATATTATACAGTTTTTACAATGTTGAACAAAAATTGATGAGCTAATTTTAGGCTAAAAAAAGCCAAAATATGCCATAAAATAGACGATAAAAACGGGGGATTTAGGCCCGTAAATGGTAAAATAAAATTAAGTTAACGCAACATCTGGATTTCTTTGAGCGATCCTAAGCTTCGTTAAAATAACAAATTAGATTTTTTTCCAAATTTTCAGCAGACAAATTTTTCCTTTTGTCTGTTACATATTTATACCTAGAGAAGGATATCTCAACGATATCACACGATGTTAAAGGAGGATATTTTAAATTAGAATTTTCAGTGGCTTTTGTTTTTTAATCTTTTTCTACATTTTCGCATTGTAATACATAGCTGACAAGTTTTAAGCTCTTGGTACCCGGTATTTTTTACAGCTTTTTAAATGCCATTTCACCTACTCTCCCCAGGGTATCGTCCAATCGTTTATAAAATGCTCTACTAGATCTACATATTGACTTAAGGTCAGTCCAATGGTCTCTAATCTAGTTATACTTGTTTTAAGATGGTAAAATGGGTTTTTATATAAGTCAAATTATGTTTGAGAATTTTGAGATGCTTTCGACACTATGCAGTCAAATTGCATAATGACACGAAATGGTTCATTTAATTTAGACTGACACAACAAAATTATCAATAGCAATAAACGAACTTTTGTTAAATCGTCAAAATGATCTCACAATATATTGCTGCTTCAATCTACGAATTCCATCTTGCCAGAACAGGTTCTGGAGGCAATGGACAATCCCGTAAGGCTTCCCGAAACTTGGATTCTAAAATGAGCTTTAAGAAATGTTTTCTTTACGGAGGAAATTAAACCATTGAGATCTTCATATTGATGCCGGATAATTTCAGTTACTAAACTTAAGGCGTGAGCCAAACATGTTGCATGAATTAGGTTGGGATAAAATATTTCCAGATTAGTAGCAGTTTTAGTTTTTCGTATTTGAGTCCCGTTGGTCAAAATATACCTGGTTACCACATAACAAAGTTGCAAATTTGCAGCCTCCTTTGGTCTGACCATATCTTGCAGGTCACGAAGAAGGCTAATAAAATGCTTTTTTTAAGCAAAACGTACGTTAGACCCACTCTGGAATTTGCCAACGGAGTCTAGAGTCCCGTCCTCCAAAGAGATATTTTCCTCTTTAAGACTGTACAACGACTCTAGGATTCCAATCGGCAAAAATCGACCATCATACCCCAATAGGCTGAAACAAATGAATCTATGCTCTCTCTCTGAAAGACGTAAAAGAGGCGACCTTATAACTATATACCAGGCGTTGAGTCTTTTACCAATTAAATGTCTCTCTCCACTGAACACATCTGATCCCACCAGAGGCCATCCACTTAAACTGCCCAAACACAAATTTCGCACCACTGTAAGACTAAGCTTCATAACGAATAGAGGGTTTGATGATTGGAACGTTTTCCAAAAGATATTTTTTTAGTTTCATCTGTAGTAAGTTTCAGTGCTTTAGTGCTATCAGTTTAAATTGTTCGGTGAAAAAAAAAACCGATGTAATTATATTTTTCCGAAATTTTTTTCTCTCTTCTTTACATTTCTGACTCTAGTCAGTATCATCAGCATTTTCCTGAAATCTCTTCGTCTTATTTTATTACTCTTTAAATTTTGAGATTTTGGCTAGACAGCTTCGCATGAACAATAATACGAAAAAGGTGAAAACTGACTTGAAACTGACTGATTCAAGTGTTTTATAAATGTTGAACGTCTATCTTTCAAATGTGGCAACTCCAATCAAGATTACCTTTGACGTTGTTGCAGCTACTGTTTGATTAGTTGATTATGATTACACATCCAGTGAAAAACGTTGGCAGTGTTTAAGTTTATATAAGTTAAATTTAATAACGGAGATTGCCACTGAAGTATTAAATATAAAACGTTTTGATTTAGATCTTAGCAAAAAATTAAAAGTTAAAGAAATAGAGGTCATGCGTCCAACTTAAATTTAGAATATTCGCCAACACAGGCTGCGTGTTAAGCGTGTTTGTCAGTCAATAAAGCCTATTCGCTAGATTTGGGATTTTAATAAAAAAAAAACAAGTTTGCTGCAAAAACAGACGCATTGATTTCATTTAAAATAAAAAAATACATTAGTTTTCAATCTATTCTTTAAAAAAACTACTCGTTAAAAAATTATAAAGTATAATTTAAATTTTATTTATTCTGAGTACATAGTTCGTAAAAAGGTGAAAAAAACAAGAGTTGAAAACGATATTGTATTAAATGCAACACAAATTGTTTGTTGTTTGTGTTAATATTTTTTCTTTGTATTTTTGCAGAGCTTTTGGGCCGTCTCCCTAGGAGGTGAGTACTATTTCCAGATCATTAAGAAATAATGATAATCACATATTTTTTTCGAACACATTGACTTTCAAAATTTGCATTGTTGATCAAACCTTGTGTAGTTTTTAAGATCAAGTGACTCGCTTTAATATTAACGAATACGTCGCTTTAATTTTGAAAATTTTTCAATTTTTGGACTTATTAATATTTAAGTTATGCAAATCATTATTTTTAATGTGGATGTAGCTATGTCTAAGACTAAATTGTCGTTGTTGTTTGAGTAAAAGAATATGAAGTCAACATGCAAAAGCCCTTTCTATAAGACCGAAACGTTTCACGATTTAAATCAGTTCCCTACACGCCGATTCTTTTCCTGCATCTCTCGAACAGGCCGTATAAATTTTGAACCGCGAAAAAAATATGGCAAAAATAACCTCGTGAAACAAACCCCTTTTCCAATACAATAAATTCCGAATAAAGCGAGAAGCCGTGTATTTAGAGCCCCGACGTTTCGATGAAGGTTTCCCGACCTTTTTAAATTTTCACCATCTCCCACAATACTTATATTTAGTGTTTGACAAGTCATACTTCCAGCAGCAAATTCTAAGACTCATTCCATCCGTGTTAAGTCCCCATATATTAAGAAAGTGCATATTTTCGCAGCAATTTATGACTGCGGCACGTTGTGTAACGTCCATATTTCATTCTTTTAAAATCGCATAAATCATACTGACACGTCGGTGTGTTGTGCTCGCCTCTGTACACCTTTCCTATTTATTACGGGGTTAATTTGCGAAATCAAACTTCGTCCCAAATGCGAGCTTTAGTAAAGGATCATCAGCGGCTTTGCCGAAGGTAATCCGACGTGACGCCCACGTGAAACCCTTAGACTAAATTCCACTTTTCAGGATTTCAATGAATATTCCGGTGATTAACATTCGCTTGTTTCCGGAAGTTATTCGGTTGAGGGGCGAAAAATTTTTTTAAATTTTTCAAGGGAAGGGGTGAGGGTAATTTCATTATTTTTGCTGGAAGTTTCTCTAATCGGATTAGGGAAATTTAGATCTCTGGGGGGAGTGGGACAAGAAGTAGATAACCGCTCATCATAATGTAATAATCGTAATAAATTGGGTATGTTGGCGAGCTTGATAAGCGAAAACAGGTCGACAAGATGGCAATACAATTTGAGATTTTTTTTGTTATAAATTCCAATCGTGATTCGTTTAAAATGAAATTCAGTCAAAATAGTAATCCAATATCATAAAACATTTTAGGTCACAGCTAGCTCTAAATCAAAATGTTTTGGAACATATTGTACGTTCGATATTGTTATTAGTACGAAGTTGGTCGAATTTTATGCAATAAAGCTTTAGATTAATAAAAAAGTAAAAAGTGAGTTATGACCGTATGCTAGCTGGGTCTTTAATTTCGTGTCACGTTGCTCACATGATTTTGGATTAAATACTCGTAAACAAAACAAATAAAAATTACGATTTCGTGTAATACATGTTTACGTAAATTACACATCAATATTGGCAGTTCAATTTTTATAATCATGGTCAATTTTAATGCTTTATTTTCGACTGCAGTACACAGTTGTTACAATTTCGGAGGGTATTGATTCGGAATACATTGAAAGAATTACCAAATTTATTGAGTGCATCAAAATAAAACACAATGTTTTGTTGAATAGGCACTTATAAACTATTAGTTAGAATTTTAAAGCGTTTGCAAAATTTGCTTTTATTTATTTTTATTTGATTACTCGTTCTTGATTTTAATTTTTTTAGTCATTAAAAAAATCACATATCTTATCTGATTCAAGAAAAAAGCTGTCCCTATACTTGCTAAATACAACAACTCTGAAATATACTCACAATAGTCCGGTAAATATTTTACTGAATTATATAAAAAAACAAACAAAAAGAAAGATTGGAAAAGTTCCTAATGAGTTTATTTCAGCGATCGTTCTGTAACCATCTAGAGAACTGCAAAGATGGCATCATTATTTCTGACTGGATTTGCACCAATTAATCCCTGACGTCTTATTTGTTTGCTCAACACTTAGATGTTTTGTTTTCCTTCTCTTAAAGATAATTATTTGCAAACTAGAGAAACAGTTTGAGTAAATTTACATCAAAAGAGCTTTTAAGCTCTTGAATTTTTGATACACGATATTGTTATATCCTAGCTTACGTAGAAACGGAATGAGTTAGAAAACGGTTCTCACTTGATATTGTTGTTTTCTGAACCAGCAGTGATGTTTTTATTTAGCTCTTTGTGGAAATATAAATACATTTTTTGTATGTAGACAACTTCAGCATTAGATTAATCAGTGAAAGGTGGAAGTATGTATTTTCTAAAATTCTATTTTATTTCATTTTTTCAACTACTTCGTAAATTTTAATACACTTTAAAATTGTAGTGACGATGATAAAAATTTAAAAAATTGGTTGAAATACAATAAGTCCAACAAATCCCACTTCTTTGAAAAATTATAATTTTTTAATATTGCGATTTTTGTTTTCCGGTCCGCACAAGTACGGACAATGTAAAATATTTTTAAAGCAGCAATAATAACATGCTTAACTCGAGAGTTAGTGTTTATGCATTGAAAGAATGCCACGTAGAAATTTGTTTGATTTGAATGAGATTGTCTCAAAATAGAGGACCAACATCATTAATTAACCCACAATCGAACAAAATGGGGTGATTTATTCTTAATATGATCAATAAAAAGTTAGAGGGTGATTAACTTTATTAAATTTATTTCATCTAATAAAAAAAAGGGATGCCGCCTGCCAACTTCTAACGCTCGATTTTAGATTGCCTAACAAACTGAGTCACGCTAGCTGTAACACTGTTGCGAGGGTGGATTATATAATAGACAAATCTAATAATACTAATAATCAAAATCAAGGTAGATTCGTAAATGACAAGTACAAGAGTCAGTGGCGGCGTAGCGTGGTTTGACACCCAGGGCGGTTTTCTATTGAGCAGCCCCCCATACAATAAAACAACGAATACTAAACGTGCTTACGGGTCTTTATTTTCGCAAAATATTCTATAACGTTATAACAATTACGAAGATTAGGCCTGTTCCATACCCGCCCCGAACTCAATTCTCAATTGTGATGAATTTTTCATTCGTTGTCAGATCGAGGGGCGGGGCTTAATTGCAAGATCGATATTTGTCTAGAAGAATTTACCATTTTAAACATGTTGTAAGTTTCTTGTTCTGAAAAGACAACTACGTATATTAAAAAAAAATGCAAAATATAAGCCCCGCCCACCTGCCCTATCTCAATTGTGATGATTTTTTTATAATTGTTGAGAGCTATAGGAGCGAAATTTAAATGCAAAATTCTTATTATTTCTTTCTCTACAAGAAATTACCATCTAAGACATTTTTTTGAGTATCCTGTTATTCAATGGATACTATGTATTTTAAGAAAAAATTAAATCCAAAGATTAAGCCCCACCCATAACTGCCCTGATCTAAATAGTAATGGAGTTTTCATTCGTTGGCAAACCTAGGGGCAGAGCCTAATTGCAAAATCCATATTTCCTTAGAAAAAATTACCATTTTAAGCGTGTTTCAAGTTAAAAAAAATCATTACAATTGAGATGGGGTGGGTGGGTGTGTGGGGTTTATATTTTGCCATTTTTTCTTAATATACATAGTATATTATATTATACGATGCACAAAAACCTGTTTTTAATTTCTTGTAAAGAAATAAGTATTTTGCAGTTAAGCTGATTCCCTTGGTTCAGGGCGAATGAAAAAAATCATCACAATTGAAATAGGGTAGACTTACATTTTGTCTTTTTATTTTAATATGTGTAGACTTCTTTTCACAACATGTTTAAAATGGAAAATTTGTGTAAGAAAATATCGATTTTGCAATTAGGCTCCGTCCCATAACTGCAAAACACATGTTTCCGTCCATAAACCACTTTAACCATATTTTAAATTTCTTGTTATGAAAAGTATATTAAAAAAAAGGCAAAATATTAGGAAGTATATTTCTATTAATACGGAAGGGTTTTTCCAAGACTTCATTTATGGACACTTCCAATTAGGCGTATTACTGGAATTCTGTACTTAACGGCCTCTAAGCCGGATGTTTTAAATATAAATAACCTCTATAACCCGGACCCACGATTACCCGAACCTCCAGTAATCCGACGAGAGATTAGTTGAAGTCAATATCTCTTTAATCCGAACAAAAAATCTGCAATCCGACCTGAAGTTGAAAACATGCACCTACTTGCAAAAATTACGCAAGATCTGCTTTCTATACGTGTTGTATTGAATTTTTTAAAAATTGTGATATTCCAATACCTTGAATTAACTAATTCTGGAAAAAAAGGTTGAAGTCATCGAAGAAATGCGGCCAGAAATGACTTCTGCGCCCCGAAATCTACAAGAAAAAGTATTTAGTTAAATGTAGAAAATCGTCGAAAATGGATCGAAATTTTCTAGTACCCTTGCCAAATAACCTACCCTCTAAGAAAATAAAAGGCGGGTGGGCCAGGCTAGTATTTGGCAAAATAAGACTCATTTTGGCCAATGACCTACTCTTCAAAAAAAAGGTACTAGCCTCGTCCACCCACCCGTTATTTTCTTAGAGGATATGTCATTTGCAAAAATCAGTCTCACACTTGCCAAGATAGACTGATTTTGGTAGATCATCTAGTCTTTATTTTCTTATTTGGCAAGTGCTAGCCTCTCCCACCCGCCCTTTATTTTCTTACAGAGTAGATCAAAAATCAGTCTTATCATAGCGAGTACTGCTAAATTTTTCAGTTTTTCGATTTTTCAACTTTCGAATTTTTCAATTTCTCGCTTTTTAAATTTTCAATTTTTTTATCTGTCTTACGATTTTTCATTTCTCTGGGCAACTGAAAAAAACTTTCGATTTTTTAATTTTACAATTTTGCCAGTTTTCCGATTTCTCAATTATTTGATTTGTAAAAATATCGAGAAAATACACAGATGTTTATTATTTTTAATTTTT